ACTCCTTCACATAAACTCACTCTTCTTGTAATCAACCTTGTAATTGAAAATTGAGATGCCTGTAAATGAGTGCCATAATTATCATTATCATCAGTGAGGGGAAGCCTCTTCATAAACACTTCAGTCTCAAGTGCTTACAGCCTCTCTCTGACTAATTTGGTCCACCAGAGTAAAAGCAGGGTGGGAGGGATTTCACTCAGCACTATATTAACCATCATCAATTTCCTTATCCTCATCACTACTATCATATTTCCATTTACACATTTGTTCAGGTTTGTCAGTTTATTCAGGTTTACTTCTGCTGACTTAATTATTTCTAATTTCTAATTACAGCCTGATTAGAGCAAAACGAAAACTTCAAAAGCAGTCTCAAAAAGTTTCTGAAGCCTCCTGCCTTTGAAGCAGATTCCTTTAGGGGAATAAAGAAGAAGAAGGAGGTGATGTACAACATACAGATCATGATGATACGACAGTCTGCTCCAGCACTGATCTAATTCCTGTGGAAATACAGCTGAAGTTGAGAGACATAGCTGTATCGGACTCTGTGGGATTGTCTTTGTCTTAAAAGCTCAGAATAGATGTCAGAGGTGTTACAAAATGAATTTCACTACGACTCTTCAGATTACAGTTATGAGCCCAGTGTCATGACTGCGATCATGTCTCTGCTAATTGAAAGAAATTAGTTATGTTGTACTTTCAGCAAGAACATAAGGATGTGACTTAAATTTCGTAAAATGGAGGGTCCTCTGGTGCAGTCCGTGTAACAACCAACAGCACCAACTGCGCTTGCACTGGAAAAATTAACATTGATTTCCATTTCGATTTGTCTTCCATTCTGTAGCACACGTGCAGAATATGTAAGCACTACTGAGCCATTTTGCCACACCTATACGCAAGACCCATAAAATGTAAATTTTCATTCCCATTTGATGTACTATCCTGCATCTGAGGGAATGGTTGCCATGGTGGAATTACAAAACGAGCCATTCTGACCCACCATAACTGGCAATGGGCTGAGTCTGACACTTGTGGTGTACTTTAGACTTAGTTATGGGTTGATGGACTTGGGCTACCAGTTGGAATCCCACTTCAGCTCTATCTCTTGGCCTTGACTCAGTCTTTGCCAGACTCTGTCCAGAACTATTAGTCTGCACTGTGGCCGTAACTCATGACCAAGACTATGGCCAATGGTAAGCTGAGTATTTTTATTCTGGCATTCTGTCATGGCCCAACCTGTCCCAAGATTGATTGTGCGCCATTAATGGAAATAATATGGCAGCGGACAATGCCAACATAGAGTCTTAGGATTACACTTTTAAATGTAAGTATTGGGTTTCGGTTCAGTTGAACAGCTAACTAAATTTCTGTCCATCTTGAGGTTTAACTCTTCAGTACGTTACGGTACAACCACAACCCGAGTTGTCAAGGTTGCTCAGCTACAGGAGTGGCCCCTTTGTGACGCAACAGTAAGGGCGGGCACAGTTGGTGACACAAAGTGGCAATCCTCTGTAGGTCAGGTTTCAGCCCTCGCAATCTATGACGGCTACAAAGGGCCACATGCCCTCCGAATGATGCAGCCCCTGAAATGGGACACAACTAATATGTCAAAACTTCCAAGCTAGCCATCAGCTTGCTCCTTGGCACAACATTCCTCTGTCTTTCAGGTGGAGGCATGGGGTTCAGGGTCTTAGTAGGATGGCGCAACCATGGGTTCTTCTTTACCTTGTTCCGAGCAAACTGGGTTACTGAAGGACACAATAATGTGACGCAAATGAAAGAAAACACTGATACAACTTAGAAAAAGCATTGTATGGGAACTGCATCACCTAAACAGATGAAATGCTATATACCCCTGTGTCGAGTTCAAGTGTTTGCTGCCAAAAAGGTCTATTTGGAGACACATCTTGTATGTGTGTGTGCATACAAAAGAAGTCAGGTTTCTCTGTGTTTCGTAGTGAAACGTCTTTCACTGAGTGCTTAAGGACAGCTGTCTGCACCAGGTACTCTGCTCTACTTTATTCCCCTGGGTGAAGAGTATTGATCTTAGTTGCTGAATTAGCATTTCATATCACCTTTCCTCATTTAAAATGGTGATTGCTGATATCTCATCCAGGACAAATGGTTGGCTGGGGAATTGCAGCTGAGGGCGATACCGATCAGCCGCAGAGAGTTAACGAGCTTATCATCACAATGTAAATAGCAATGTGTGTGCATGTGTGTGTGTGTGTGTGTGTGTGTTGATTGCTTTAGTGCCTGTCCCTCCTGTGTGAGGTGTCACGGTTTGTAATCAAAGGATAAACTAGAGGAGAATTACAAATGACTGTTTCGTCTGTGAATGCAACAGTGTCGGCTTTAAAGGATGTCATACTGTAAGACCAGATTTCTCACCTCTGCCTCTGCTTGTGGAGTAATAACACAGAATGCACTTCACATTGATCCCTCTCTACCCAATAAAAGTGAATGAATTTAACAATATGATCTTCTGGATGATGAGCCTGAATCCACACTTTAACTGAGAAGAGAAATAAACCTGAGAGCTTCATAAACAGTCAGGAGGTAGAGTGAGTCGTCCACGTATCGGACGGTCAGTGGTTAGATTCCTGCCTCCTCCAGTCCACATGTTGAAGTGTCCTTGGACGAAATAATGAACCCCAACATATACTGATAGGTAGCAGTCTGGGAGTTGAGAGTGAGTTACTTCCCCAAGTGAAGGAGCTATCTGGGGTGGGGTTGTGGTGAAAAGCAAGCAACAGCTGAGGGTGAAGCTCTTGATTTGGTCACGAGCTTTGGCTAGTCACTGAAAAAACATAAAAAGAAAATGTGTTTTCACAAATTTTGCTACCACTACATAGCTAATGTTAACAGCATTAACAGCTCTTCTTCCACCTGAGTCCGAGTTCAGTATCAAACTTAATTTCTTTACTCACCACGAGCTGTCTCCAGCAAGAGAGGAATGCCAATGTTGACTATTGTTTTTCTTTATTCTACTGAAGTCAGCATGCTAACCAGCTAGCCCTGACCACCCCGTCCAGTTAAAACTACTTTCTATGAGAGGATGAAGAAGTAATGTTGGTCAGGGGGTGTGTTCTAGTTTAGAACACACCAGTTCTAGTTTAGAACACACACAAGTTTAAAGACACTATTGGAGCTTAATTACACTTAAGGTAGACTGATCTTTAAAGGAGCATTTTGCAAGTTTTTAGTATTTATTTAATCGTTTATTTACCAATGGCTGTCTCAAGGGAGCAATGCCAATAGTGACAGTCTTTTTTTATCTTCAGTAGAATAAAGAAAAACACAATCACTTTATACAATATGTGACCTTTAATTTCTATTGTGGACAAAGCGAAGATATAAGATAAATAAAGGGGTGAGTTCAACCAATCCGTGCATTCATCAGTTCTACATTTAATTTTGTCTTATCCATCATATCATAGACCATGCTGACAGTCGCTGAATTGTAGGGAAAAGCTAGAGTGTTATGCTAGAATTATATATGGTTGTCAGTGCAATAATTAGGCAGCAACCATAAAGCAGTGAACACAAACATGTCGGAGTCTAATTGTAGCGGCGTCTCTGCAGCAGTCCTACTCCAGAGGGAGACGTGAAAACTAACTAACTGTGTTTTCTGGCTGTGATTTCTTTTTTTTTTTTACCTCCACACTATTTATATCTACACACACGCTGTTTCAGTCAGACAGCAAAGTGTCGCTCTGGGCTAGCTTCATAGCAATCTCCAGCTACGTCTTCCACACTGTCATCTTTTCTGTTGTTGCATTGATTTGTGGGATTGGAAGCATCATCAGGTTAGTCCTTTTTTTTTGTGCTGCTTCCTGTGCAGTTCATGATCCTCCTGGAACAAAATAAAAATACGCCACTTTTTCATCCTGTCAGACTTGTTGTATTAACACAAAACAAAAATATATATAACTTCACCTTTCTTCAGTGAAACAAACACAGTTCTTGCTCCCTGTTTAGAGTCAGTGTGAGCAATTCCTTAAACTACACAGTTTGGCACAAAGTACACTCGGCAGAACTCAAAGCTTCCGTTTCACTCTCACCGTCCCCCAATTAGACCTGAAAGGCAAAAGCTCATTAGATCGTCCAGGTTACAGGGTTCTCTCATTCCCCTGACGTCTCTTTCACACTAACAAGACAAACTCTGTTAACATGAAGCTTCCAATTATTCAGAAAAATGTGGCAGGGCTGGTAACAATGCAGCCAGCAGCCTTTTGTCAGTAATTTGCAGGGGCCCGTCTATGAGACGCACTCCAGAGGATGGAAATGTAAGACGTTGAATTTAAACTTAATAAAAAACATTTGTTATCCAGAGGAGCCTCTTCTGAGAACCTAAGTGAGGACATTCAAGAATTAGTGGCTTCAAAGAAGGAAGCCATGGTACCAGACAGCATAAATGTAAAACTCAACTGTTTCCAGAAAAACAAATAAACAAAACAAAAATTACAATAAGTGAGGAATACTGCTTTTTTAAAATTGTTCTTCAGTTTTTTATTTTGCCATCCCTTGTGTACTAATTACTGATAGTGTGTATTTGTAAAATAAATATAAACAAATTATAGATATAAATTATATTATCATTTTGATATTATTATATTATAATATTATTATGCATTAAAATGATAAAAAAAACTAACTATAATATAATATAATATAACATAATATAATATAATATAATGTAATACAAGAGTAAATAAAAAACAAAAACTTGTGTTTGCTCTGGAGTTTAAAAAAAACATAAACAACATCGGACTTCAGAGTGGACTTCATTTCCCACATGACATTGCGTCGGAACGACTAAAAAGCATCCCTGAGTATGTTGAAGCTCCATTACAGACTCATATATTTCACTCATGTTTTATATTTACTGAACCAGTTTTACAAAGAAAGCGTTGAGGTGGTTATCGGAGCATTAGCCGCCATTACCTGCTTTTTTAAACACTTACACATGTGTCTTTGTTAGTTTTTGTTTGTCCATTGCCGGTTACATTCAACGCGGAACTAAACACGCGAGTCAAACATGTCTACGTCCAGCAGAAGCAGCTACAGACCTGTGAGCCATGTCATCTTCGACATGGACGGATTATTATTAGGTGTTGAAACCTACGCTGTTTATATCCTGTGTGTTGTGTGTCATTTCACAAAGGCGCTAAAACCGCTAAAACTGCGGTGATAACAGGAAAGGTACTTTTTGAGTCCGTAAACGGCTCTCATCCGAACTCCATAGAAAAAAACGTACAATTTAATGATTTCTTCCCTCATGGCAAAAATAACGTGTTACACTGAACATTAAGGTTCTGTGTTTTTATAACATTGATGTCTCCTGGTAAATTCGGCATTCTTAAATACTAGCAATCTGTGCTACAAACATTAAGAAAATCAATATTTAACTTCTCTCAAATGGTATGGAGAAGTGTATGTACTGGTGACCCAGTTTTAAAAGTTGAGATTTCAATAACAGAGCTTCTTCATTAATCAGATATATACCGAATTAAAGATTTATATCTACTGATCAGCCTTTACATGGATGACATCATCTTTGAGCATCATACAGATACTGCTAAGCCTAGCTGCTGTAAATTACCTAATGTTAAAATGAAGTTTGGCTGTCAATCAGCTCCTATGGTCCTATGTTCCTTTGCAGGCTTGCATCGGTAAAGCTTCCATTCATATATAATCCTAAATGACATTTAAGTGAAACCTATTAATTTTCTTTGTGTATTTCCTCCTTTCAGATACAGAGCGGCTTTACACCGTGTCCTTCCAGGAGATATGTGACCGCTTTGGGAAGCAGTACACGTGGGATATCAAGTCCTCTGTGATGGGGAAGAAGGCTCTGAATGCTGCCCAGGTTATCCGGGATGCTCTGGAACTTCCCATGACAGCTGAGGAACTCCTCGCCGAGAGCAGACAAATACAGGAGAGGATTTTCCCCTCTGCCAAACTCATGCCAGGTATTCAAGAACAAAAAGCATCAAACTGTCAAATGCAACTGGTTTGTTCTCAGCTCGAGTGTGGCCTATCATTAGCTCTTGTGTGGGCTGTTGTCCTCTTTTTTTTTCCCCCCTGCGTGTGGGAGTACTGCTCCTTCTGTGTGTTTATATGTTGTGTAGCCATGCATACAATAAAAGCACATCTAATAAATGCGTTCATTTGTGCTAAACGAGGCTGGTGATTGAGCAGGTGCAGCAGCGTCTCATCAGCTGCTGCCTGGTTTTCATCCTCCGAATGTAATGTCATCATTGGATTACAATGAGAGAACATCTCATTTGTGCTACTGAACAAAGACGAGAACACGCTGGTTGTCAGGGTCGACTTAGCGGAACCATTATGCTGACGCTCATTGTTTTAGTGCCCTCCTTCCTGAAGCTGCCGTTCGGCTGAAGTGTGTGTTTGTCAGGCGAACACTAAAACACTGAGGACCTCGCATGCAATGCATGCTGGTACATTTAGGCTGTTTGAGCTGGCTCTCTAGTGGAGGCTCATCAACTTCTGATGAGTAACTGTCAATTTGAACAAATTTTAACAGGTTAATCCAGACATCAGTACCTGGGACCAGATCATTTCAATTGATAAACCATAGTAGGAGTTGTTATCGTTATTTACAGCTTGGAGGTCCAGACTAATGTAAATAAATAAATGTTCTCAATAAATAATTAATTCAGTCATATTACGGTCATATTATCCCTGTTGGTTCTCCATCATTCTTTGACCTATATGATGTGTGTGTATACATACATTTAATACTGTAATGTAATGGTTCCCCATCTGTGGGCTTTGCCCTTTTGGTGGGCTGCAAAAGCATTGAAAGTGGGCCTACAAATAATTTGCATACGTCAACGACGGGAACTTTAAAGAACTTGTCAGCTGGACCACATAGTATACTTGCATTGCTATGGGATCCGATATGGGCCACCAACATTCTTGAGATCGTCAGCAGTAGTTGCAAACAGTTCATGGTAATATAACTTAATATAACTTAGATTTTTCTATAATGCCCTACTATTAACTATGTAAACAGACTTCTAAGACACTTCTTTTTTTAAGATGTTTTGTTTCTGCTTTATTTTATAGCGATAGATGTAGACAGGTAGGCGTCGGATGCATTGATACATAACGTCCCATAGGTGCTCACGCCTGTCACATGTTCTCAGTGTGAACCTGCTCTCATCTGTGAATTGAACGGGGCGGCAATGGCAGACCTCCCGTTTCTGGTGTTCTCTGGCGAATGCCAATCGAGCTGCAGGGTGCTGGGCTGTGAGCGCAGGTCCCACTAGAGAATGTCAGGCTCTCATGCCACCATCATGGAGTCTGTTTCTGACAGTTTGGTCAGAAACATGCACACCAGTATCCTGCTGGAGGTCATGTTGTAGGGCTCCGGCAGTGCTCCTCCTGTTCCTCCTCACACAAAGGAGCAGGTACCGGTCCTGCTGCTGGGTTGATGCCCTTCTACGGCCCTGTCCAGCTCTCCTCGTGTAACGACCGGTCTCCATCCATGCTCTTGAGACTGTGCTGGGAGACACAACAAACCTTGTTGTGACTGGACGTATGGATGTGCCGTCCCGGAGGAGCTGGACTACCTGTGCAACCTGATTGGGCTGCAGGTACCGCCTCATGCTACCAGTAGTGACACTAGCAAAACACAAAACTAGAGAAGAATCAGTCAGGAAGAATCAGGAGAGAGCAACTGTCTGTGGCCACCACATGTAAAACCATTCCCCTTTTGGTGGTTATCTTGCTTTTGCCTCTCCATTGCACCTTTTGTCACTTTCATTTTACACCAAAGCAGGTGAAATTGATTCACAATCACTTGCGCTTCCTAAATGGACAGATTGATATCACTGAAGTTTAACTGACTTGGTGCTATACTGTGATGATTAAGTGTTCCCTTAAGTTTTTTTGAGCAGCTTATAAATGTGGGCAGATGTGTAAAAGCACCTTACCTCACCACCTCCACTGTTCTAGGGTTTGACTGCACTGACCATGTGCACAACCGACACTCTGGAGGTGGAGTTACTGCTCTCAGTGTTCATTGCTCAGGATGCAGAGATCTTTTTACCTGTAACTAATTAGGGATTGCTGCATTTGGAGGAACCTTTCTAAGATTCAGAACTGGGACGCACCTGTAATGTGTAGTGAAGTGGTGACTGTTTTCTCTCTGTATAAAGACGTATGCAGTGTCCACACCTTCTCTTCACTGAACAGGTAAACTACAGGAGTGTGCTCCTTGAGGGAGGTTTTATTACAGTTTTATTGACTGTCATCCTTGACGCTGAGATTAAAAAGCTCCCATAACTCTGCTCTGCTCTCCAGTCACCACTGAAATTAAAGATATTCACTAGCTGTGGTCTGGAAGGCGCTGCACATCAACAGGGGTCTTTATTGGAAACATTAGCCTTGTATAGCTGATGTATAAGCCTCACTTTGTAATATGATCCTCACCAGGTGTGGAGAGACTTGTGCATCACCTGCAGAAGAAGAATATCCCCATCGCGGTGGCGACCAGCTCAGCCGGGGTGACGTTCCAGATGAAGACGAACCAGCACAAGGCCTTCTTTGGTCTGTTTGACCACATCGTTCTGGGCGACGACCCCGAGGTGAAGAACAGCAAACCTCAGCCAGACTCCTTCCTGGTCTGTGCCTCCAGATTCAACCCACCAGCTGCTCCAGAGAAGGTGGGTGCTGCATGTAATATTTAAATGGGGTATAAACACTCAATGGGGGGGGGGTTGTTTTAGGGTCATTCGTCCGCCTTTCCATCCACACATATGTACGTCCGTACATCCGTCCATACATCTTCCGTACATCTTCCGTACCTCCGTCTGTACCTCCGTCCGTACCTCCATCCGTACCTCCGTCCGTACCGCCGTCCGTACCTCCGTCTCCACCTCTGTCCATACCTCCGTCCTTACCTCTGTCTATACCTCCGTCCTTACCTCCGTCCATACCTCCGTCAGTAACGCCTTGACAGAATTTCTTCAAATCTGGTACAAACATTCACCTAGATTCAAGGACAAACAGATTAGATTTTGGTGGTCAAAGGTCAAAGGTCATTGTGACCTAACAAAACATGTTTTTGGCATTGTGAATGCAATCTCTGTAATGCCTGAGGGAGTTTCTTCAAATATGGTACGAACATTCGCCTGGACTCGAGGATGAACTGATTAGATTTTCAAATCTGAACTCTTGCTGATATAGAACAGAAGTACACTTCTCTGTTGTGTAATCGTCAGACACAGTCAAACAGAAACTTGTATTTACAGCAGCTCATGAGTGAAATATTATCTCTTCTTTTATGTTCTGATCGTTGCATAACAGTTTTTTGCATTCATACTTCTTTTTTTCACAAAGTAGCTTGATAGTCTTTGTAGATGAGTTTTTCCTTTAATTATATTTATGCTTTTTAAATGTCAATGCATTTTCAGACTGGAGTCAATCTGCCTAATGCACTGAAAAAAAAACACAGTGAGAAGGACGCTGGTGAACCACAATCTGTCAATCATCCAGTCCAGCTCACACAAAGCTGCAGTCACATGACTTGACAGCATCCAGCTTTTTTTTCCCACTTTGCTTTCAGTTGAAAATACTTTAATTTTGGAGCATTGCTGAGCTCATCTATGGCACTTCTGTCTCACCAAATCAAAATTAAGAAGGGGGCGGGACTTAAGGGTGCTATATGTAAGCTATCTCAGCTGCCGAATGTTGATGGTATCTTTCCAAAAACTTCAGTTGTAATTGCGTTTACAACACAAGAGGTTAGAAAACACCCTCTGAGCAGCTATGTCTTTGCTACAGTCACACTCTATTAGAAAGTGATGAGAGAGGCTCCCTGGATTGTTAGCATGGTAATTTCAGTCAAGAAAAGAAGTGATAGAAATTGAAGCAAAATAAGAATTAAAATTAAAGTAAAAAGGTGTTAATGCTAACATTGGCTTTGTAGCAAGAGCAAAACTTACAAATAGCTCCTTTAAGATATCTTAATTATTTCTTAATTATTAAATAATATGTTTATATAAGCTGCTCCTCTGCAAATATTTTAATTGCCAAGTAACTGAACAATATATACAGTTTCATTGCTTCATGTTATGTCAAACAATTAGCAATAGTGAGCCCAGTCCCAGCCACTCTGGGCACCCTGAATGACAGGCACAGAGATAGGGCCGGTACAGAAACTGACAGGAAGGGGAAAAACTTTATGGATCTTTTCATGGTCCACCAGCGCATCAATGTGGTGGGATCTCAGACTATGAGAGACGGGTCTGTTGTCAATATGTTTGTGAGTGTGAGAGAGAGTGCGAGTGAGAGCATGGTAAGGAGGGTCTAAGTGATCAATGTGGATAAACACTGAGCTAGTATTCAAATAATAGTAGAGTCTGTTTACCAATACTAAACGCTAATTATTTTCCAAACTCAAATTAAAAGCAGAAATGAGAGCAATGAGAGTGATATGCCCATTGTAATGCTTTAAAAATATCATTCTTTACTTATCAAATGGAAAACAAATAAAAGTCTTTTATATTCTGTAATTGATAGTGTTTTGTCCTAGTCTTTTTTATCAGTAAACAACAAATCAAAGATGGGGATTGAAGATTTGCCAGGTGGTCACTATGCTCCAAATGATGGTGTTTTGCACCTCAGGGTCACCATAGGTACACCTATCCAACCTAATGCAATCCAGCAGAACAACTCTTCCACATATTCTACCTTTGCAAAGCTTCAAATGACCAGCTTGTGTTAAATTTCTGTGTATTATTGTGGTCATATTTAATAGTGGTGTTGTACTTGATGCGTTATATTGAAATGTGTTGCTAATATTCTGACCTCCTCATGTTTGGATAGGTGGTGGGTAAAACACCTCTCAAGCTAATGCAGTCCATTACAACACCAGTGCAAACTACAACCTCAATTATGAACATATAGTTAGACTAAGAATAAAAACAGAACATTATCATCTTTGTAAAGGTAGGATTTATGGCTGGGCTGTTGTATTGGATTACATTAGACCTGTGTGGTATATTTTTGAGATAGTGATTTTATTTTATTAATGGTCGCAGATAGTATAAATGGTGAATGGACTTGCACTTATATAGCGTTTTTCTAGTCTTACTGACCATTCAGAGCACTTTACAATACTTGTCACATTCACCCATTCACTCACATTCATACAACACACATACGCGCAGTCATACACTGATGGAACAGCCATCAGCAATGTGGGGTTCAGTAGGATACAAGGATACTTTGACATGCGGCCTGGAGGAGCCGGGGATCGAACCACCGACCTTCTAAATAGTGGACGACCTGCTCTACTTCCTGAGCCAAACCCAAGTGATGTCCATGTGTTGTTTGATTATAAAGCAGGTCTAGGCTCTATATTGATACTGTGAAAGTATCAAAGCACTCAGTCCACAGAGAAATGCACATAGCCTGTATTCAGAAACTGCTCCTTAAAACCAGCCGTCAGGACTTCCTGCACTTTGTGATATCACAACAAAGCAGTCACCACTCTCAGCCATGCCCCAAGCCCCGCCCATCCTAGACCCACCATCCAATCTGCAGGATTTGCTTTCTCTGAGTGTTTACCTGAAATCTGCTATATTTTCATTGGATCACTCAGAAAACAGTCAGCCAGAGAGGCTCAAAGCCTCTCTTCTTCTTGGCTCACCGTCCTGTAGTTGCTTGATTACCAGAGAGAAGCTTGAGACAGGAGATATAAAACTGAATTAGGATGGTTTTTGGTTCTGAAAAGCACAAATATATCTTCTTATGGATCAACACTCCAAAATAAAACAGGAAAAGTGCAAAATATGGACCTTTAATGACATCCCTGTGCATTATGCATACAAGACAAAAATCACAAGTTGGTAATGTGAACCTAGAGAGCTCAGAGCTAAGATGTACCTTCAGTGCTGCAGCAGGTAGAGGAGACGTGGAACTACATGTCAACAGTATGTCAAACAATCTGTACAGTATGTCCTCTATCTAATGGTGTTTAGCTGCCTGTGTGTCAGCCAGTGGCTTTTTATTTACAGCTAATGTGTTCCATTTGCAGTAATACAGGCAGGGCCTGATGTCAGCCGCTCTCCGCGCTGACAGACAGACGCTTCCACTGTGGCACTTTGATCAAAAGTGGTGAGCTTTCAGGGTTCACGGGCTGTTTAAGATATATTTCCAGACACTCTGGAAGCCTTTCGCAGTGTTGAGTCAGTCGAAAATAGCTGCCAAATATCTCACTAAAAGACACCCAATAACAGTGTGAGGCCTGACCTACTTTCATGCAAAAACTAGCATTGTAGATCACATATAAAAATTGTAGTATTATGCTAATTGGAACAAATCTACTCTTGATCATCGTCAGTGTACGACTCTTAATTGTGATCAGTTCTAGTGTCTTTTTAGTAACAGTCCATGTATCTAAGTATTTGATGTGTGTTGTCACCTTTAAATCATAGTCTTAACATGCATTAATGATGACCTTAATTATATGTTTCACCTCCTCAGAGAGATTGTTTAAATTAATGCTCGATGAGTTACAGAAGCTAGTGCAACCGCACTATATGTATGTATATATATATATATTACATGTTACATTGCTATCTATCATCTATCTATCTATCTATCTATCTATCTATCTATCTATCTATCTATCTATCTATCTAGCAGTGACCTATGTACTTCAGCTGTCTATAACAGTTGACTGATAGGGTGGTTATTCTTTTACCCTTCTACCCTTCATCTACCCAGTTGATGGAGATAAGATTAGTCAATGCCAATGAATGAAGTGGGATTTGTTCTGCAGCTTGAAGCAAAGTGTTGCCTGAGAGGCTACCTATAGCCAAGAAATAGCAATCACCGTGGATACTGATAGATGCCTTGATCATTCAGCTTTTATAATAAATACTGTCTCCTTGTGAATACATAATGCCCCCAAACAATTGCGCTATAAAACAGATGTTCCTTTTAACTGATTGAAGAGAAGAGAATGTGATGGTGGCTGTTTCTCAGAGAGTCAAAGAACCTGGAAGTGGACTTGCTAGAGAACACAGAAATAAGTCTCTTTTTTCTCCAATTTAGAATATGTCCTCTCTGCCCTTTCTTGGGCTCTGTATTAGGCTAGGGCCAATATTTGATAATATCAATTATCGCTTCATTTTCCACTTAATACAATATTTTTCATAATATACATTTTATGGGGAATATTACCCTGCTGCTGGGTCCAATCCTCATTTCACTGCTTTGCTTACTGTGCATTGTACTTTAGCATGTGACAAATAAAACTATATATTATAAATATAAAAAACACTCAAAACATAAGATATAATAATATAATTATGTATTATAGAAAAACACCTGAAACATAAAATGCAATGTAATTATATATTATAAAAAAATGATGAAATGTAAAATACAATAATATAATTATATATGATAAAAAAAACAAAAAACTGCTGAAACATAAAATACAACAATATATATAATAAAAAAAACTACAAAAACATAAAATGCAACTATTATCAAGTATTAAAGGTTGGATATTACAAATATTAACCTGCGATAATATGATATATTGCGATATTTGGGCTGGACTGTATCAAGATATTAAATTTTCGATATCACCCAAGCCTACACTGCACACTAAATCATTATTATTTTGTGTGCTGTACATATAATCATA